CTAACCAATCAATTGCGAAGACCTCGTGGCCAGCCGCTGCAAGGACTGGTATAACCTACCACCGCTTGATCAGTTTCTGGTATTTTGAGGATGAGCGATTGGATAGGATCAATGTCGATCAGCGAACACAGAGGGCAGCATACATCTCGCCACATATAGCTTCAGCTAGGATTTCCGTGCAGAAGCAACACAGGTTGCCCGCTTCTTGGCAAACCCACAGGAAGATTCTCGTGAACTACATTCACCATGGCTCCGCATACCTCAAGAGCTTCGACCTGAGGATACCAATTTGCCGTCTTAATCACTTCTGCCTTTGGTACAGTGATAAGCTGATACTGTGTGAATCTGAAGGTGCCCGCTAATCGCTGTTGAGCGGTTCCCTCTTCGCGTTCACGTTGGCTGTCCGCATCGTTCTGCAGGAGACTCCGACCTGACGCTGTCATGAGTAGCCGACACTGGCCTATAACATTTGGAAGCACCAATACGGATTTAACCAGGACATACACAGGTACAAACACGAAAACTGCCGCGAAAAGCCTCAACAAAGTGTATGACATGAAAAGGGTGCCAATCATGAATGCAGGCTGAAGAACGAGGTCCGTAATGCCGAGCACGTTGCTCGTGGGGCCACCAAGGTAGCTGTCCATGTCTCCAAAACAAATCCACGCCGTCGGCGAGATTGACGGGTTCTAGCTGTCGTAGCTCAGCGCAATGCTTCCGTATTTCTGGCCGGAGCTGGGAGTTTCACATGCTTCGATGCCGCTGGTTGGGGGAAAAAACATCATTCTAGGGAATGGACCTCTCTCCGGCGTCAAATCGAACAAGCTGCGATGCAGTGCGGGGTACAGAATAACTTTTCTTTCCCACGGCAATTAGAGACACAACACCAGGGCCCCTCGGAGATGTCGGATCCATTTCTTGAAGAAGATTGGCAGCTAAACGAGCAAGAAGCTCAAGTATACGCGGAATGTCACACCAGGTCAAGCCGAAGCTCTGGCTTGCCGTTTCAGCCGGCAATTTCGGGTATAACACACTGCTAGTGATGCTGCAACTTCTATTGAAATGTGACTCCCTACCATTGTGATATTCACTCCTGCATGCGTAAGTTCCAAACTGAGCACCCTCTCACACCTCTGCCGAATCACCCGGTCGCGATTAGTTGATGTTGACGTACGCAATTTGGCAGCTATGTTGCTTGCAAGCAAACCAATCCGTGTCCTTCATCTGATTTATCAAGTGGGCTGGTCGTCTTTCGACCAGAGGTGGATCAGTCTGCTAGGGCACATCCCAATTTTAGCAGTGAAAAGTACATATGAGTGTCTCGATGCTTAGTTGGATTCGGATGATAGTGATGTCAGTTGAAGAAATAGAAGAGATGGCTTCGAAAGCATGAGATTACACATTCATTGAGTCATTGAAATTGATGATTCGAACCACACCGAATATTTCCTAAAATCTCTCCTCTGTTCAGGTTCACCGCTAGACGTTATTCTCACCGCTATCTGCCTTTTCCTTTTTGACATGCTGGGAGACTCCTAACAGTGATCCTGTGAGAGATTTGTAAGTCGTGAGAACAAGGTTTAAAAAGTATATAACAAGAAGAAGGAGTAGTAGCGCGGTTGTTAGGACGCGGAATGCTGGCGAGTCCATCTCGATGGATAAGTTGAGCAGAGCGGTGGTGAAGACGCCTGATAGTGGGGTTGTTAGCAGCTCTCTCGGAGAGCAAACAACGTATAGACACTGCTTACCCATTGGAAAAATCATGCTCCACCACGTCAAACTGAACGAGAGCTTCCTCATAAGCAACGCTTCAATGAGAATGTACCATGCAGTAGCTATCCAAAACAAGGCAAAACCAAGGATCAGTAGAGCAACCAGCACACCCGAAGAAGCAACCGCGGAGGCGGCCGATGCTTTCAGGAACGCGCCTCGATCATAATCGGCGAAGTCGGCCCTGGTATACGCAGCTGTGCCAAGGAGCTGAATAGCTGTAGCGAACTGGCCAAGAGGTCCGACCTGTAGCACCACCAGTTGTGAGATTAGTGCACCAGGAGAAGCCTAGAATGGTCTGTACCTACAGTGATGACAAGCGAAGGGATTTTAGTAGGCTGTGGCGGACCGACGGCTATGAGGCGATGCAGATAGATGGCGTAGAGAAGGATGGAGAGGAAAAGCGCATACCCGATGCACATATAGGAGACTATAATGACGGGAAGAGCCAAGCGAGCAGAAATCTTGTAGGAATAATTGACCAGTAGGCCACCTGTAGTTCCGCTCGTCATAACACTGATGGTCGGAAGGAAAATGGCTGGTGAGAGGCTGCGATCGTCTGTGACTTTCCGCTTTGCCAAGACGAGAATCGCAGCCGAGCACAGGAGGATTGTCCACACCATGCCTATCCGCCATAGTACATACGCCAAAATGGTAAGTCCATGTCCCCAGGCAGGGCTGCAAGTCAGACCAACTTGGCTGACTATAGTTAAGTAGGCAATGGCTGGAGCGGCGAGGTACGAGATCTCATCTGCTGAATTGGTTGCTTCGCTCTTCGTGTTCGTAGGGAACATGATCAGGCGAGCGATGCTGATGAGCGTGAAGAGGCTAAACAGAAATAGGTTGAACACAAACAAAATGGTCGACAGAACGCCGAGACCGTTGAACTGGTATGGTAGCAGGTGCGTGATAATCGAAAGGATTCCAGTATCCATGCATATCGTGAACCTTCTAGTTTATCAATCATCCATCCTCTGTGCGTTTTATCACGGTGCCGTGACGATGCGCTTACCATATTGGAGAGCAGTGTTGGATTGCAGTACAGGCAGACCGCCTTTGCCCGCTGGGCTGATGGTCGTGCACAGAGTCACCGCCGTCTCCTCTTTTGTTAGATTTCATCAGGTGCGGGCACGACGTAAGACCTTGTCCGTACGTGTAGAAATACAGCTTTTGCGTGCCTGTTGTTCAGCTGATAGAGCTTCGACAAGAATCCCGAGATGGTGCTCATAAACAATTGGAGTTTTGGAAAATCTAAATTGTAGGCGGACACCCGAAACTGATTAAGGGAGGAATGTCCCATGCAGTAATGCTTTGCAGTTTGTTTAGATACAGCTCTGGCATGTCGTAAAGAATTCATCAATATCGCGTCACTGATGTTTCCGCATCTTTGTGTTAGCTTCGAGTGCTCACATCCTTGTAGTAGCCGCTGTTCCGGTTTCATTTGAAGAAACAGGGATAGTTGTTTATGAGGTGCCTGAGCCTCCCTCGAGTGTACATGCAGGTGTGTGAGCTTCTGATGGTGCCATAGCCGGTCTGGTTCCAGTTTTGACGTCATTTCAACAAGGGTTATCGATAACCTCGAGATTCTGGCAACGACAAGGCCCGTGGAGCCTCAAATGGAGGAGCTATGCTTGGCATGATCTGGCAAGATTTAGAACAATGCTTGACTACTGACTACTGGTACCACTTGGATTGGTTGATAGATCTTTACAGCTTCCCAACTCTCACTGCGGAAAGTGCTCCGTGCAACATGGTATCTAGCTTGCTTCTTCTAACATTCACGTCATTCCTATGCGATCTCAGCGTCATGAGACTACATAAAACATAAATACGTAGTCCTTGCTCCGCATATGAATATTCCTCATACTGTCTTAGCACTGTATCTTACTACGAGATCTATCCTTCAACCGAGGAATTCGCCATCACGCACGATAGCATCAACAACAGGAAAATGGCCGAGCTGGGAGTGTTCAAAAGGAATGATGCGATCTATGTTAACCCCAATACGCAGAATGGCAAGCATGTCGACATCGCCATCACTGTCCGTGGTTCAGACTTCTACTTTGCATGGTGTGCAGTCATGGGGACGGTTGCGCTGGGTATCATCATATCGAGCTTCATGAAGCCTCGCACCGATCGGATTTTCTTCTACCTTACTGCGTAAGTCTTGTGGGTACGACTACAATAAAGTGTAGGCTGACAAGAGCAGAGGCGTCAACATGACTGCATGCATAGCATACTTTGCCCTTGGTTCCAACCTCGGGTGGACACCGATTGACGTCGAATGGACGCGGGGTCAAGCTGACGTTAGAGGCATCAATCGCGAGATCTTTTATGTTCGCTATATTGATTGGTGAGTAGAGGAGACCAGGTCTTAAAGACAGAGACTCAAGTATCAACAGGTTTATTACCACCCCTCTACTTCTTCTTGACATTCTTCTCACAGCCGGACTCCCCTGGCCTACCATCATCTGGACTGTCTTCCTGGATTGGATCATGATCGTTACGGGCCTTGTGGGTGCTCTTGTCAAAAGCCGATATAAATGGGGTAAGATGAAACAGACTATGAGCTGCACTTCGGAAGCCTTGCTGACTCGTATCCCTAGGTTTCTTCTCTTTCGGCTGTGCAGCAATGTTCTACATCTTCTACAACGTTGCCTGGGAGGGCCGTATCCATGCCAAGCGTCTGGGGAATGATGTCTATCGTGTGTATCTGATCTGCGGAGTCTGGACCCTGTTCCTCTGGCTTTGCTATCCCATTGCTTGGGGCGTATGCGAGGGCGGCAACGTCATTGCTCCAGATTCGGAGGCGGTTTTCTACGGTGTCCTTGACTTCTGCGCTAAGCCTGTGTTCAGCATCATGCTCATTGTTGGACATTGGAACATCAGTCCTGCTCGTCTGGGCCTGCGAATTCGCGATGTCGACGAAGACCCAGTCCTCTACGAAAAGAAGGATCGAGATGCACCGCCGGAAACAGCGGACCCGGATGCTGTACACAACG